GAGGTTAGTGGAAAAATATCGCTTTACTGAATATATTTCGCATTTGCCAATAAGATGAAACAAATTCACAAAAAGGGGTAAGATTATAATTCAGGTGATGGAGACGAACATTTACTTTACGTTAAATATATATTTATAAAAGCCATTAGAACCCTTTTTGCGCAATGTAACCTTTTACCTTTTTACGCTTATTAATAAAACGTGTGTGTGTGGTATGAGGATGGAAACAGATAGCGATACGATAGGAACTGCTAATTTGTTGTTCCCATCATGTGATTTTTAATCCACCAATCAGGGATCGGCACAAATTGGAACAGGGACAGGCCTATTGTAACAACGAATTTTGGAATTGAGTTCTGTCTAAGACGGTTTGAGTATGCGGAGTTAGAAAAAAGTAAGTCAGTCGTAATTAGAATCCTCGTTGTACGTCTATCTCTATCTCATCAGCAGCACAATAGTGGTGTTACAAACATATCGATATTAAATAACAAGGAAAACCTCAATATGAAAATCCATAACGAAGTTTTCCTTTCTGCCTATCGCTTTCAATAGTAAAAACATGTCAAACTTCAAACCACTATGAATTTTTTGAATACCAAGCTACGCCTATGAAGTCTATACCTCGATGCCTACGCCAGAAGAAAATAGAAAAAAAATTTTTTGGTTTACGCATAATTAGAGATCCGACCCATTATTGTTTGCTTGTTTCTATCACTTATACCTTAAGGCTTATATGAGTTATGGCTTATTAGGCTTGCTTATTGCTCATGGCTTATTACTATCTAAACAAGCTTATGGACAAAGGGGCGTTATTATTATTATAGCATTTGTTTACATACCCCCGCAGCAACTTGCAGGGTAAACAATTAAATAACGAGCCTCGCTTACTGTTACGTCTGTCAAATCTGTTGTTCAAAGGACAATATTGGTCTCCTTACACATATTCTTGCCACGTTTCACTAAAAATATGTGGCCCGAATACTGTCCAAATAGAAGCCAGCGAGATCTCTGCTTACGTATCGACAAAAAATTAGATTTGAATGACTAGCCCCCATAATAATAATGTGTGTTAGACAAGTAAACCAACAATGTTGATTCCCCTGTGTGATACATTTTAAACTTTGTACGTATGCAAATATGGCTTATAACTGTTTGTTTATGTCATGCATTTAAAACTTTACGATAGAGTTACGACTTTGTTGCCAAGCTATACGTTCAACCGTTATTATATGAATTCAGAAACGATATTGCTTCGTATTAAACAATAATCGACAACTTAATTAGTTACTTGAATTGCCACGTTCCAGCCATTTGCTATCCATACATGCACTTTACAATTCGCTAACTTGGTAGTATTTACCATAACTACGCAAACTATATTTCATGCTTACACGAAAGAATTTGATTCGACATCATGTCACAATACACTTATTTCCTGACCACAAAGAATTCGAGCACTTTCCTACACACGTTACCTGACCTAAAAAACTGCCATCCAGCACATATTCATCCTCCACAAATAATCAATTTTTTAATCCTGTCGCTTTGACTCAATCTACAGCTCTTCCAAATAGTGTACATTTAATCTGCTCCTATCTAATCAAAAAATCAATCACGATTAAATGTAGTCGAGCAATTATACTTGTCAATCGAACGCTCCAATGATTCAATAACTATTAAACACTTTAACGAGAGCTTTATACAGATAAGACATACTCCTGTTACTATGTTTTATCACGATCGAATGTAAGCTTAAATCATGACGATTCATTAATTTTAAAGGTCGACTTACGAACTGTCTGATATAGTAGGTCTATATCTTTTTATATTCGACATGGCCTTCTAAAGCTTATGTTACGAAGTACTATTATGTAGCATAATAAGTTGTCATATTACTAAAGCATCATGTACTGTATATGATACATGTCAGTTTTCGAGACCACACTTTATTTGCAACTAGCACTAAACATAACATGACTTTCCCAGTTATATGCGAGTTGCTCACATCACATTATTTAATCCGTTGTGCCATAAACATGCATGTTTAAAGACTCAACATAATGAATAACCTTCGAATATCAATGACAGTGCAATCATATAGCATACTTGTGTAGACCGTTATGTGACATAACAGCAAAAATATCAGTGGATTTGTACTATGGACTATTACCGAAGAGAAACCTTTTTCTCATAGTTAAGAGACTTTGTTACATAAATTAATTGTTGTTTCCCATATGAACTATGCTGAATTACTATTAAACACTGTCTTAGCAATCACAATATAAATATGAGTTTTCATCTCAATGGCTACCAGCAGCCAATACACAGTCATATATCCAAAGCTTTGTCAACTATGATCTTGTATTATAAACTGTACATTGCGGTAATTGAATTAAAGAGGGGAAAATACTTAACCCTAGTTAATGCGTTATATTCTTATTAGCATTTTAATATCAGTGAAAGCTGTATAAAAAAGAGAAAATCACAAACTATATATGTGTCATAACTACACACTAAATTGTCTGTAGTTAACTGAATATGATAACAACTAAGTCTACGACAAAAAAAGGAGTTTGATATTTTTGCCATCCATCGCATCGCATCGCATGTATTTACTTCTACTCTTAACCAATAAGCAGATAAGTAAAGAGTTTACATTTGATTATTAGAAGATATCGTAAAACATTGTGGTTTGACGATACGGTACCGAGAGATCGGGTGCAGAACTCAGGGGACAAAGCGAAGGGTGCGCACCCCTCCAGAAATAAGCCCCCATAGAGCATCCATTTCTCACCCAATTTCCAATTCCTAAAATCCTTGTCAGCGGTACGCATTTAAGTAAGCAAGCAAGGCTTGTTGAAAAAACAATTCACTTCCTTACTTGCTAAAGAGTTTACAAAAACTTAAACTTGACAAGAAGGATTTATCCACCTTGCCGTCACGCGTTTGCGTGAATCGTCGGTCAGGTGCAGACATAACACGACAAATAGATCGGCTGTGGAAAAAAAATTTTTATCTTTCTTTCTAATTATGAATGATAAATGATAGCCAGAGACGAAACTCACAGAACGACAGTTAATAAATGGAACTTTTGATGTATTGGAACGTACGACTATTAACGTTATATAAAACGGGCCATTATTCAGTAGCGTCTAATACAAGTACAATAGTTAGTCATAACCGATAATTATCATACACGCGAGTTTGGCATGCACGGGCAGCAAAAAGTATACTAACTTTAATAATTAATAATCCATATCTAATGACCAGCCCCTTGTTCATAAAAAGCCATTATCTGCAAACGTGAACACAGCCACACTCATACGATCAGATTACCGTTTTTTTCCAGATTGTATAACATGTTATGTACTACAAAATGTATGCATGCCATAATTTAAAGTTTTTTAGCCTGTGGGCGTTTTTGTGGATCAACGCCTCAACAATTCTTCTAAAAAACGGTGATGGATATTCGTAGCAGTTTACAATACCATATTCACAAAAACCTCGATGCCAGAGTGGCTTTTTGATTTCTTTTCTTATAAATCTCATCCTCGATACAACACTTAAATTTACATGTTCTGATTTTTTTTTGTCAATTAACAAAATGTTTGCAACTATAAACTGCACAAGACTATTGATGGTCGTAGCCATTTTGGTTTCAATGTGCATTCCCTCATATGCTCAGGGTGAAGCTTATTTGTTTAACAAAAGGAGGGCCGCTGCTGGTTTTGGTCATGTTGCATGGGGTTACATGAGAGGTGCCGACTATTATACTTATGGATCACTTGATAGTGAAGGCTCTGTCATGACATCGAGACCGAATGGCTTCTGGGATCGTTCTGGTTCTCATCAAATAATGATTGCCACTTTCAAAAATCTTGGTTACGATACTTACATCAAAGTGATAGTGGACGCCCCTAGCGTTGAAAATGCGATTCAAACGGAAGAAGCGGTGATAAATACAAATTACAATTTATTCACAAATGATTGCATGGAAGTCGCTCACAATATTTTGTCTGCATATAATGCGGCATTGCCCACACCATTTCTTGATGGATTGTTTCCTAATGTGTGGTATGATGATGCGGCATCCGACTGGCAATGTAAACCCATTCCTCTCCAGACCTAAACATAACGATTTTGATCAGGATATACGTATCCAATGTGGCAGTCGACGACTTTGGTTGAAATTACGATTTGATGAAGAGTTAATAAGGAATTTACGGGTTGTTCTCAAGTTGGGAGTACCCTACGCGCAAGTATTATTTTACCGTATACAAAGTATCATCATCACATGATTTTTTCGATAAAAGTTTTTGAATATAATTTCATCAGAAAATTACCGTTACTGTTACTGCATTTTTCAATTTTTCCTCTTTTTTGTTTTACATCTTTTAAAAACTATCTGCAACCTACTGGGTGGTGTTTGTTTTATACATATTAAAAAATTGGCTTACATTGCAAACTAAAACGTCAGTGTGTGATGTTTTTGATATATTATTACATGTAAATTTGCAAGATTTGTCTTAAATAAAAAGGAACAATGGTTTTCACCCTGGTCTATTACTATAGTAGATTCCCAAGAAGATAATGGAATATGTGTGGTGATGCATAGAATCATAAATTCAATGTCTTGACAATCAACCAATTCTAATATAAATACTCTTATTTTTATTATTATAGTCAACATATCTGCTGCAACAACCTTGATGATGAAAACAAGCTGAATACATGAGGGATGCATAATGCCAGCTTACTTATACTCTCAACTAGTGTTTATACCAATATTGCTAAAAATGCATATTAATATTAATCTCACTACCTATAATAAATAATAATGGCACCAGTGCAAGCACACCAAATTTGATAGACCAGTATTACTTTATACTGTACTAGTACTTATACTGTACATTCTACAAAGCTTTCACTTTATATTAGCAACAACATTAAGAGCATATACATAACTCAACCAATTCTCTTAACTACAGTTGAACCTCATTATACTAATACTGAAGTGTCAGGGGAGACATCCATGATTCAGTATAACAAGATATTCAGTATTAGTATAGTGAGATACCTCTAGATAATAAAGTTAAGCCTAAGGTCAAAGCATTGTTTGGTATACAGTATAATGAGGCTTATGTGAATAACATCTTTATTTCAATAATACATGAACGTAATAAAACTGTTATGTTAATCAGTAACAAATGAGTCTATTTGAATATATTTGCTTGCAACACTATGCAATTTCACCTTTCTCTTCAATATTCAATGCACAAAAGGCCTTAAATTCATCATAATTAATTTCTATGTCACCTTGTTGAATCATATGACCAAAACCATGTATGATCTTCACCTGTTACAGCCAATCACTATTCTATAATTTTGTCATGCAACAAAGCTTCAGTATAAAGCAATTATAACAATCCTGCATCAAACTTGGTAATGGGATAAAGAGATTTTACTATTAAAAATTTGTTATAAGGAGGGAATTTTACTATTTCAAAAATGGGGGAGCCAGAATTCCTTCAAAAATTCAGTATAACAAGGTTCAACTGTATCTGCTAAACATCCTAAGTATAAGAAAGACATAGAAATGCTTAAACACATAAGTACATCATCATGAACTTGTATTAAAAAGTGTGCAACAGAGCTTGCATATCTGTACTTTCCAGCAGGGAAAAGCACATATATGTAGTTATCACATGGCAGGATTTTTTAAGGTTATTCAAATTATTCTGTGCAGCATATTTGATCAGATTATCATTGAAATCTGCTGTACTACATTGCATCACATCTTAATCTGTCACTATTACTATCACATCAGCCTAGCCTAATTATAATGTATCATAAGTTGTATATTAGTAGCCAGATTTGCCATTTACATCATATAATAATAATTACCTTTTGTTATTCCAATTTTATGTCTCACAAAATGTTCAGTCCAGCAGAAGAACAGGTTGTACAAATCATCAATATTCTGCAACAGTGAAATTTGAACTTTGTGATTCATAATCCACTACTACAGCATATTATCAGATCAGAAGAAAAAATTAACAAATCTAATCTAAAAACTTTTGTAAAGCATGTATTGAGGTGTTGGGGTGGAAGAAGCAAGACAAGATAATACAACATTTAAAAAAAGCCCAACAACTTATGAAGTCTTTAAAGCTCATTGGCAATAACAAGAGAATGCATAAATGTTTTATTTAGGTTGGTTGCTATGCTACTATTAATTGTGATAATTATTTTATAACCAACCCATCTTTTATATAGATTCTCCAGAGCATACAATATCTCTCTATCAACACATTCTTTGAGTAAAGTCATAATCAGATCTTCATCGTATGGGCCTATGGATAATTATATCATCAGACCTTTGTCTAATACTAAGAAGATGATAATGAGAGAAAGTTTCATACATTATTTGCAGTCTCTTGTGAGTGGGCATGGGTGAATATGAAGCAAAGAGTTGTTGTTTTTTTAAACCCTTTTCTTAAGTTGCAAATTTTACTTACTTATTCAAAGAATAATTAATTTGGATACTCAGCAGATTAAAATGAAACGAAGTTAGTCAAGAATATTATCTGGTAAAGGATTGTTTGTTAGAAAATCTCTGATTGGTCAAGTTTCAGGAAAAGACAAAACTTTAACTGAAGAAGAGAAAAAATACCACATTTGAGATTTAGCACTGATGACAAATATAATGCAGCATTATTATCAAGGAACTGGAACGAAAATGCCAGCCAATTATTAAGGAGAGGAGAACCAGGAGCATGACAATAAATGACAGCAACAATGATTGTAGAATGAAAGCCATTATTGGGATTTTTTTTAAAGTTTTCAGTAACTACTTGCAAAAGTGGAATTATTCCTTTTTTCAAATTTCCTCCTCCATGCCAGAAGCAAGGTTAGAACTCAAAACGAGCAAGGGCAACCTGATTTTTCTGTTGTCATTACAATAAAAGAAAAGAAGATCAAGATGGGCTACCTTGAGACAGGACACCCAGGTTCTGCACTTATACTTAAGAAACAGTTGTGGGACCATAAGAAATTGAATTGACTATCAAAAGATTCAATTAATTTTACCAGACTTTCAAAAAATGAGAGGGTATTTAGAGGCTTAGCAATGTGTCATACTCTTGGTTGAATCTGAACATAACAGACATAGCTGAGACTGACAAAGATGATCCAGTAGGTGTGACTCTATGTTTTGACAGATGGACTTATTGTATGAAAGAACAATATTAGGAACAGTTCTGAGGGGAAACTGTACATCTGGAAGGCAGTTGATATCAGGGCAGAACAAGAAACATAGGACAGTCTGTCCTGGATTGTCCATGTCCAGGTTGAGTATGAGCTTGGCTTGGCATGGTGGCTGTACATTTGCATGAATGACACATTCTACTGGGTTAACTCTACCCAATCAGAATGGATTTTAAGGATGCATCCATGACAACTCTGCTGTAAATTGATTCTTCAACAAGTGCCTATTCAAGATACTTGAACATTGATGTACATGTTACTAATGTGTTTTTACTGCCACAACTGAAATGATTCAGCAATTTCTGTCATAGTTTTTTCTTCTTCAGAAACTGCTAAAGATGGTATGCTCAGTCAATATTACTCATGAATATATTATGCTGTTATAGTTATGAATTTATCAACAGTCTGACTTACTATTACTGATAAATATGATACTCCTAGGAGCATCTAAAAGAGGATTGCTAATTGATTAACTGAATTTGAGAAAAAAGAAGTTGAAAAAACTGATACTCCAAAATTCAAACAACTGATAGGACAAAAATGTATTGGTGTTGCATGTGGTTCTCACTTCCCCGAATCATTAATTGTGGGATAATCTAGTTAATTACTAATGATCATATTATGGGATAATCTAGTTAATCACTAATGATCATTACTGTGGGATAATCTGGTTAATTACTGTCACGGCTGATGGTGAAATCGGCTGATGGCTAATCCTCTGTCTTGAGATAATGATCGCCGGGTTATGTGGATAATGATTAATGATCGCGGGATGATCCCGTTAATGCACACCGAGTGATAGATTCTCTATAGCTGAAACTCGGTAATGAAGGGAAAATGTTACGTTATTTGTTATAGTTGTATATTATCATAAACCAATAAAAATACCGATCTATTTATAAAATCCGTATATATCAATTTGCCTTTTCTTTACCGTTGAACGTTACATTCATTGAATATCTATGCTAATCGAGAACTTGCACCGTAACCCTTTGAAGGAGGTATATGCTCATATGAATAGCTTTTGTTTCAGCACCCATCCGATTCAGCAAATTAACGTTTAGAAAGGGAAATGCGTCGTTATTAAACTGTTCACATCTCCTGGGAAATCTCAGATTTTTGAGATTCTTCTGCAAATTTGAACCGAGCAAAATTTATGTTAGAATATGAAAGATGACGAAAATGGTTTCCAATGTCGTTATAGGCAAACTGAATTACTTGCTTTGACCTATGATAATAACATCATGTTCTTTTTTGTTCGAATCTAAATAAACTCAGACTTATGTTAAAAACATTAAAGATAATGACAATGTTTTCAAAAGTATTTATAGGGAAATTGAATTACTTACTTTCAGAGTCTTTCTGATCAACATCGCTTAAATTTTTGGTATATCCAAATTCAAATCGTACTGAATATACTAAATCAATTTTTTATCGTTAACAAGTATGTAAATTTCATTTTTTATCTTGGTTGTGTTATTTGTTATTAGTAATTGAAAATTAGTTCGTGTGTTTGAAGAATTATAGCGGTTTTTCAAAATACTAGACCCCATGTGACAGATTTAATATTGTTGCGCCAATAAGATTTTTAACCCTTTATCGAGGATTACCAAATATGTTACTTGTATTACAAGGAAAAGCCACACTTTCTTCGACCTTTCTACTGTACATAGTCTACAAAACGGGTGTAAGAGATCGCTAATCAGAGAAGCTAATCTAAAGACCGGCGCTTCTAACTTTTCTATTCTTTGGGGCTTTAACTGTGTTCTTCTTATGTATACTTATGTATTAGACATATAATGCCGTTTGCACTGTAATCAAGAAATCACTGGTAATCACCGTATTCTGAAAACAGTTTCGGGC